TCCTTGCTCCTAGTAGCGATGCCAGGAGCCCCTAGTAAGTTTGAGTTGCTGTGCTGGAGGTTCACTAAGTGTCCTTGTTGGTCGTCCCTCCCGGATCCCTTCGCTCCATCGTTCGCAGAGGTGGCATCGTGTGTGCGTCTCCACCATGCCCGGTCTTTGCGTGCAATATCGAAAAGAAGACATCATGAACTTTGGGGAATGCGACATTTTGATAGACACAATTCGATCACTGCATGTGTTCACAGCTTCCATATGCCTGCTTGGTTCAATAAAACTTTGGGTCTTTCAATTTGGCTTTGGGGCCTTTTTGGAGTGAGCACGTGCTGTGCTGCAGGAAGTAGAACTTGATTTCACAGAGGCTGGGATTTGTTTACCCAAGACTAATGTTTTTACAAGCATGCAGTGTTGACTCTGAAGCGCTCCGTGAATTTCCTTTTGACCCAGGGCGGCTCTGTGAGCTCTCGGGTACCCAAGGATATGCGAGATATGACACGACACAAGACATTTGAGGTGGAATTTATATGTATTTTTGTTTATTTTGTATTTTTTAAACGTGGGGTAGGTCGCTAGTGTACAGGTAGTTTGGCTGGGTAGCTAGTAGAAGCTAGGCAGCTACGCTACTACTGACGGGACGCAGGATAGCTCACGCTTCTTCAAGCAAACTCCCCCGCCTGCCCTAAAGGCGGCGGGGAAGCTTCCTTGAAGAAGCGCTCGTACTATTTGATAGGGAAACTCAACAATAGCAATGGCCTCCAACTTACTAGCGATGGAATTTATGCGGCCTCTTCTCTCAGCTTTTTTTTCAGAAAGACAGAAGCTGGACAATTTCGACTTAGACTCGAAGACTTCACAGGAAGCTGAGCAAGCTGGGTGGTTGCAAGACTTTTTGTCTGATTCGCCTGGTGTGGTGTGGCCCTCGTTCGAAGTGCGACAGCTTGAAGCAACTCCAAACAGGTCGCTGTGGTGAAGATTGTCAGATATTGCAAGGTCAAGCATATCACACACGGTTCGAACAAGTCTGACGGATGGGATTCTTCAAATCTTCGGAGCTCTTCTGGACAAGGTTTAATTGAACCAGCAACTACTACCAGCTTGACTGGTGTTCGGATGATGACTTTTCATTTTTGTGGTGGGTTTACATTTCTTGCACCTTGACGATCGATCTCACTGCTTTAGGGTTTCTTTGGCACTCGAAGGAATACATTTCCTTTCACACTTCCAGACCTGCGGTGCACCTCGTTGGCTTCAGCTTGCAAACAACTACATTCTTCTAACATCTTCTAACTTCAATATGGAATCTTCTCATCGCATCTCCTACATCAAGCTCTTGGACGCCTGTCCAACTGTTGCTACCCAAGTCCCACCGAGATAGGAGGAGAAACAACCTTGGCCAATCCCTTGGCCTTTGCAAGCAGCAGTGGCTTGCTGTCCCGTTGCACGTGGGACTTGCATTTCTCCAAAGCCATCAAAGCCCTGAGCACAGAGTTTGATCACCTCCAAAAAATAGATACACATCGTTTCCTCAGCACCGTCGGCACTAAACTGACGCCATGGAGGACGACGGCAGGGCCCTAAAAACGGCACATTGTTGACCAGTGAGCATTGTAGCACGAAGGTTCCACTAGTGACTACTCAAGCTAAATGGAGTTTGTAAACGCACAGGTTCATGTTCAGTCAAGCGCTTAGATCAAGGCATGGACGCGCTATTTAGCAGCTTCATGAGCGAAGTAACCAACATCAAGTCTGCCAAGATGAAGAAGCGACTTGGAGACATCCCTTTGAAAAACTTTGATCAACTTTAACTTGTCATGCCGAAGACAATTTGCTGAGTCACTTTTACACTGGAAGATAGATGATTCACACGCCCAGGATTGAAGGCAACCAGGGCACTCCAGACGAGCATCTCGGCTTAGAAAGACTAGCCCATGAACACAAAAGAGCATGATTTGCCATGTGATATTTGCCCATTCCATACGAGTTTGTAGCGACAAAAATGGAAAGCAGAGCTTTGCCGTGGCAGGATCATTGAACGGGTTCTTGCACGACCCTATGACCCGAAACAGGGTCAAGGTTCTGCTTACCAGATCCTTCAGGCAGTCGACGGTTGCCCTTTGAGTCAACAGACATGCCCGTGTCGCGACATCGGTGAATACCGTTGGAACATCGGCTGTTGAGACAGTCAACGTTGATAACGGCCAATGCCCAGACATCAAGGGAGCTATAAAGGTTGTTCTTGCCCTTTAGAAAAGAAGAGAACCATGGACAACTCTTGAATCGGCATGAATCGGCAGGACAGAGTTTTCTGATGCTGGTGTTAGGTCTGCTCTGGTCACGAAAGATGTCCTATCCTTTCACTGTCGAGTCTTTTTGAGAACGAGAAGACATGAGAACAGAGTTTCAAGATGGATTTAAGACTCCTCTGCGAGGTTGCGCCAGATGCCACGGAGTCTGAGATCACTAAACAATACAGGCGACTGTCAGCCAGACCCCAAGGAGAGCCTTTGAGCTGAGATGTTGGGAAGTCGGCCAGAGCGACGCTTCAGGTGCTGGTTCACCCGGACAAGTGCAAGCTGGATCGAGCAGCAGAAGCATTTCAGGCACCTGAAGCTTGCCATTGTCTCAGATGCTTGTCAATGATCTTAGTTTCTAGGTCATCGTCAAAGCCTACAACGACACAAAAGATCCAAACTACCAGGACAAGTCACTTGGTGTAAGTTGATGGTCTTGTGTTTTGGTGGCATGTCACAGTAGAGGGATGGGTGGAAAGCGTCTCCCTATATCCAAGGTATGCAGATGTGATCATTGAAGCCAAAAAGCGGGTCAGGCAGATTCGGAATTGATGCTGCTATGATTTGCCATGTGATATTTGTTTTGGTTGGGAGTTTATTAGGAAGGAGCGGGAGAAGCAGAATGAAGCCCGTGAAAAGCGCGGAGAGGATCCCTTAGCCACCGTGGGCTGCTCAGATTGACAAAGTCGAAATCATTGCAGCTTACCTCCTTTGATCATTCACTGGCAGAAACGCAGATGCGTCAGATGGCGTATCTATATAAGTACCCTAGAAAGCATTTCACGGCGTTTTTGCTGGTAGAGGGCTGACTTGTGAAATGTCTGATTCCTAGGCCTTGTGCGAAATTACAGTCTGAAACCACGAAAAGTGCAATTTTACAAGTTGAAGCCAACTTCAAGTGCCAAAGCGAGGATGGCCAGGAGTTCGACAGGGCCGTTTGGGAGGAATGTGAAAGGCGAGGAATTGAGCACAAGCAACATGTCGGCGACATGTCGACACCGTTTTGGGCGCATGTACCACTTTTGTCGCTTAGTAACCTCTAGAGGCTATTAGGGCGGTGGAGGCCATCGCAAGTAGGAACAAGAGGACACTACTAGTAACGAAGGGCATCGCTACTAGGAGCAAGGACGCTACTAGTAGCTCCTGGCATTACTACTAGTTACTAGGAACAAGAAGCTACTATGTTTCTGCTTGTACTTCTGACAGGATGACATCAGCAGCGACTGAACATGCAGAGCAAGCGAACTCCGTGGCAGAGGCGAACAAAAAGCGATACGAAGAGCAGGCGACGCTTGATAAAGACTGACCTTCAAGTGCGAACTCTTTTTGAGAAAGAAATAACGAAGGGACAATGAAAGGCGATGCACCAGCAAAGGCCAGAGAAAGACGGGAAAGAAAGAAAGCGGAGCAGAAGGAGTTGCGAGAATGGGAGCGCAATAAGGAGCCACATCAACTACTCTCCAAGAGCTTTTGAGGCAACGAATTCCTTTGATATCCTTGCTACTAGGTTGGAGGCCGTCGCTACCAATTAATTAGGTTGGAGGCCATTGCTTTGAGATCATTGTGCCACCTTCATGTCTTCATAGAGCAGGACAAAAGGGCCGCTGGCTGGCAGGTCTTCATGCAAAACGTACAGCCTTGTGCTTGAGCATCAACCAATGCAACCTGAATCCAAGAGTGTCGTCGTTCAGTCCATGCAATCATCCAAGTTCAATTGCGGAACATTTCCGGCCGCAGATCTCACAATCGGTGAAAGTAAGGTCCAAAAAGTTTAAAGCCGGACACACCATTGGCAAGGCAGGCTGCTCAGATTGAATGCAGCTTTTAGTTGCAGAACACGTCGCGTCTTTCCCTGCCTCTTGATCCTGGTGATGTTCCTGACGTCAGATTGGTGCAGCTGATCAGCATCACAAGCGAGAGGACACTTCTTCTACTTGTGCACAAGTTGTGCTTGAAACATTTTCTGTAACCTTTCACTTTGCAGAGTTTGGAAGATGCTACGTCCTTTCCAGGAGCGGAAGGATACTGATGGCAAAGCGGACTTGGACATGGAGGACAAGAAGGTGATCCGTTCGGCCGGGGACCTAGTGCAACTTGGTTACTAGTAGCTTCTTGCTACTAGTAGTAATGCCATGAGCTACTAGTAGCTTCTTGTTACTAGTGCCTTGCTACGGCAGCGGTGCAACCTGCATTTCAAGCCGAATTGGTTCAGCATTTTGAGGACATGCAGGCTGCCTTCGTGGACATGTGCCTTGGACAGATTGAAGTCCGTCGAGAAAGGTTGAAATCTGCCGATGCTTGGGCCATGTTTGGTCTGACCGAGGTCCTACCGAAAGGATTGGCGTTAATGGCTCTCCAGCGTCCGTCTGTCCGACAAAGCGAGCGAAAATGCTCAAGAGAGCCGAAACGTGCAGAAAAGAAGCAGTGGGACCTGTCATCTGACAACTCTTTTTGATGCCTTTTCCGCTTCTCGTTCCCTGTATTGTATTATACGTCCGTAGATCTTTGTGGGCACAAGCTAGGCTCTTCAGCCATGAAGGTAGTGGTGAACTGTGAGGACTTGAAATTTGAGGTCCAATGTGGAGCCGGCAAGCAGCATATGAGATGGCTTGCGTTGGTGGCGGCAACACGGATGCAGCGGCTAAAGTACCCGCATGCCTTTCGTGTTCCACAAAGAGTTCTAAACAGTGAGGGCACGACTTTGAAGCCACGGCAAGTGATTTGCTCCACTTTGGAGGACAGTGAGGAGGTCATCATTGAGCTCAGACAAGGTGCTGCTATTCCAGAGGAAGATGTGGATGCAGCAGAGTGGTCTGAAGAAGCATATGGACCCCAAGCAAATCTGATGGATTGCAAATTCAGATGGAAGGTTGGTGGTGCTCAGGAATTCCCAAAATATGTCCGAGGCGACTACATTGTGGCACCTCGATGGCAAGGTGTTTACCCTCAGAAGGACTATGGCGGACCCTTTGAGATTCAGGTTGTGCCAGTGGATGTTGGCCCAGACCAAGTGGATTGGATTGCTTCCAGAAAAGCACCACCAGGCAGTTGCACCTACAAGTTTGTGATGGAAAGCGACTATGAATCCATTTGCAAGGCAGATCCAGAAACTCTCACAGCTGATGGCCTTGCACACTACACTGAGTTCCACTGGGACGTGCCAATTGCTCCAGAACCATACCCGGAGATTGACAGCCGACCCTCAACGGCATCGTCCAGGGATGGCGCACAGGTAGACCCACGCTTTGAGCAGGACTGGGAAGCCCTACTTTTGAAGTGGGTAGAATCTTTCATGAAGGTTCGTGTCAAGGATGTGCTGGCAGAATTCTTTGCGATTCTCATTGATCTTTTTGACTCTTATGCCTTCATGGGCTTGGACCTTTCTGCCAGCCAACACACCATTGGAATGGATGACTGGAAGCACCTGGTCATCAACTGCGGACTGCTGAACGGCCAGCCTGAAGGGAATCTGGACTGGCAGCAGGTTTGCACTTGGTTTGAGGAGGCAGCGGGCGTTCGAGATGGAAGGCCCTACTTGGCCCAGCGACTGACTCGAGCTCATTACCTGGAGTTGCTGATGCGCACAGCCTCTTGGACGATGTGCGAGCATCCAAGGGAGCAATATGTCCCGGAGAAGGGGAGGCCTCCCATGCCTTTGGATGAAGGCTTGTTTCGCTTCATCACAGACATCTTGATTCCAGTGATGGACATTTACGATGATGATCCAATTCGAAAAGATGCAGTTCAGCATGAAAACCTGGTGGTGATCCAGGAGAATCGTCGCTCCATTCGCTCAATCTACTCCTTTTTGGCTCAACCATGGCCACATTACCAGGGTGAGCGCGTTCTGATTCCAGGAACTCTCAGATATGTTCTGGAATATGCTCTTGCCAAGCTGTTGGAAGCTGAGGAAGCTCCACCGCCTCCGCCAGAAGAAGGAGAGCCGACTGTGAAGGCAGCAACCATTGACATGGGCGCCGTGTTTGGAGGAGAGGAGAGGTTGAACATCCAGCAGCTCGAAGTGATTTTGGAGACCTTTGACTCTCATGTCAGCAAGATCACTGCAAACCATCCGGAAGAAGCTGAGCAACGTGCCCTGCTCTTCTGGGAGTTCTTTGAAGTGCTCATGGAGTCATGTCGCAGTCTCACTTTAGGGACTGACACTCCGCTTGAGAAAGCCATCCCAGCCTATGTGCAGACGATGTTAGCCTTCATGGGCCTTGTGGACCGTGAAGAAGCGTCACTTCCACAGCTAGCCGGCTCGGAGCATCCCGAAGATGAGTTGTTGGCTGACGTGGACGAGGAAGCGTCTTGAGGAAAATGAGAACATGTGGAACCTGGAACATGAGTACTGCGTTTCACCGTCTCACTGAGTATTGATCGAAGCACCGGAAACCACGGTGATCCAAAAGCCTGTCGGTTGCTGCTCTGAAGTACTTCAATAATCTTTTTCAAGTTTTTTTTGGCTCTGAAGTCTCTTCACTTTCTCATCTTGCTTGACGTCGCTTCACAAATAAGACGAAGCTTTGGACTTTGGACCTGTTTTTGGCGGTTGAGGTGAAGAGACGGCAACAGATGTTGCAGGCGCTCCAGGTGCAAAGCAGTGAGAAGAATGAGTCGAATAAGTACTACGCAAATGAAATCAGCAATTGAAAAAAGCAATGGAATCAGTTTTTTTTGCTTTCCTATTCCGTTCTTGTTTCAGTATCCTATCAGGCCTGGGAAGCTCTGTCGCAGAATCTAACACAGGAGGTGAGCAGAGTCAAGAGTGAAGCAATAGTTTTCCTCACTTGCTCATGCTGACTTGGTTGATTGTATGAGACTTGATCCCAAAACCTGAAGGCATTTGGTCGGCGAATCTCCAAAATTGTGTGAGTGAAGTTAGCTCCTACTCCGAACCCCCCCACCCCCCCAGACCTTTAATCCCACAAGGCCTTCACAGCGCTCGCTGGCGCCTCAGGGTGGACCATGTGCACGCCCGAACACTTTCTGCACTGAGGCAGAGGAGAAGCTCGATGCCTTGACTCTGACAGTGAGAGCAGAGGTGGGCGATCTCTGGGACCTCAGATGGACGCTTGCTGCGCCTTGCTGCGCTTTGCGACGCTTAGCGCTGAGCTCCAGGCACTTCTCCGACTGGGACGCTTGGAAGAGGCTGCCAAGGACTGTGTTCAGGCGAGTGAGTGAAGTGAGTGGCATGTTCAGGCTGTTGAAGTTCTTCACGTCGACAAAGCATTGAAACTCGACGTGAAGTCGCTTGGTGTGGTGCGGCTCAATTCCCTTAAATTTGCGCGTGAGGCCTTGAGGATCTTCCCTGAGAGCAGCATGACAACGCTAGTCCAGGCTGAGGTGCAAACCAGGGTACTTCGCATTGTTTTCCCAGCCCAGCTTCATTGCTAAGCATTGTGAACTCATTACCGTAAATGCCTGTCTGAATGCCTCAATCTCATCATAGTGACGCAGAGTGACTGTGTGGGTGGCAATATAGTGATATTGTATGCGTTGTATCGTTGGACAGTCCCTAGGTGAACCTTCGCTTGGGCTATCCTGCTGATTGTTTGGAGGACCTTTGGTTAATTGGGTCCCGAGACAACTTCTTTCATTCAGTCTTTGCCTCTTTTTGCAAGCTTGACCTCTGAAAGACAATGAAACACCAAATCAGAGGATTGCAACCACTTGCTCGACTGGAACCCTCGATGCTCCCAAGCTTCTGCACTTCGTGGAGAGGTGTGAGTCAGATGCAAGTACACCAAGCAAAGAGATGTTGTAAGATATCTAAGATATATTGCATCATTTGGTCCCAGTTCTTTCTTTCTCACATCATCTCATGCGCTTCTTCATGTTGACTTTCAGCTTTCGGCCACTTCATTCTCGCTCAAAGTCCGCATCGCAGGCACGCTTGAGTTTGGGCCACCTGGACGAGGCACGCGATGCGGCTTTGATTCATTCCAAACTCAGAAGACCCGCCAGCTACTTAGCTACTTGGAGCAAGGACGCTACTAGGGGCTCCTGGCCGTACTACTAGGAACAAGAAGCTACTTTGAAGTAGTCTGTCAAATTCAGAAGACTCGCCAGCCGCCAGCTACTTAAGTTTCAGGCCATCCTGGACTGTGACTGGGCATTGGCACATGGACATCGTTCTGCAGCAGTCCTTGCAGTGCGAGGCCAATAGACATGATGACTCGTCACATTTTGGAAATGAAGATGCTGTGAACATGAGCAGCAAGGAACAACTTCAAACAGTAAAGGCTTGCATCCACGGTGTGATACACATTACTGTAGCTGATTCGATAGCCTGCCTCTCTCAGTTCCTGATCGGCTCAAGCGGCCATTGTGAACTTTGTCTTTCAACTTAGAACAATGACTCACACTGATGTATCCAGTGAGACAGAGGATAAAACCTCAGTGTCTGCCGAAAGCGAGCCCAAAGCGAGAGCCAAGCGCTCACGAAGCCACAGAAGGAAGACTGAGCCGAAGCTTGGGAGCCGTCACCTGATCACCTGCTGGTTTGGCCGTGCATGTGAACGGAAGGAATGTTGGTTCAAACATCCGGATGGTCGAGATGTCGATCGGAAGCGGGAGAAACGCGATCGATCTCGAGTGCGATCTCGACCAATTCGATCTCGCACGCCGCACAGGAGTCCAAGGAGGGTGAACCGATCGGCCTCAAAGCCCCGAGAGAAGTCTCGCAGAGAGGGGACCAAACACTTGAAGACTTCAGAGAAGAACGGGAGGGAAGAGAAAGAAGAGAAGGAGAAAGACGAGAAGAAAAACGAGAAAAAGAAAAAAGTCGAAACAAAGGATACAGAAGAGGAGCAAAGTGATCAGGCAAAAGATGCCGCGAACGTCACAGGCTCCACAAGCTCAGCTTTGAAGAAAATGGACTTCCGCGAGTTCATTCTGCAGCATTTCGAAGGAACACCCGAGGAAGCTGTAGCAGCATTTCAAGCCTACTGTCAGAAGATGACAGAAGAAGAAGGAAAGACTGAGTTTGAGATTCTGAAGAACACAGGCCTATGCTTCGACCTTTATCACCCTCTCGGGCGGCTGCGATCCTACGACTGGTCCAGGAGCATGGCATGTGAGAGAGCCAAGAACTTCTTGATGGAGGTGGAGCAGGGAAGATACACCGGTCTTTCCTTACGTGCTCGAAGGCCCAATGGAGCCTCAGTCACATGAACGCAAAGAAGGAGACATTTTTTCGGTTTTTCAGGCGAGAAATCGTGGCCATCCCTCGCAGTTGGAACAAACAGGTTTCAGATCGTAGGCAGTGAACTCTACGACCCCGTTGCGAAATGTTACAACCCCTGAGACTAATCATGACATATCCTGACTACAAACCGGTTGCAATTTTTCCTTACGTGGCTTGCGTTTTTGCGTCGAGGTCACGTGCCCGGTGGCACATTTGGAGCCTCCCGAGTTTGCCTTCGATGCGAACGTAGGGACGCTGATGATCAGTGGACTACCGCCAGCAATGAGTGCCTGGGATGTGGTGGAAGCTCTTCAGGACTTGAGTGGTTTTACTTCAGCAGCCTGGACCCCTCCGTCACCGCAGAAGCTGAGTCGCAGCTTCTATGCTCACTTCAAGAGCGCCAAAGAAGCTCATGCAGCTTTGCTGGCTTTGCTTGCCGATCCAGACCTTTTGAGGAAAGGACTTACCACAGGCACAGCTAGGGCCTCTCTCCAGGAAGGCTCACCTGAATTGAGTGCTCTGGTTCTGCCGTCTGTAATGTCTTCACCCAGTCGTCTTGAAAAAGACCTGCTTCTTTCAAAGTCAGCTCCTCGCCACAATTTGGAGTGGTTGCAACATGAAACGCCGATGTAGGTTGGAGGCCATCGCTAGCAGGTTGGAGGCCATCGCTAGTAGGTTGGAGGCCATTGCTAGTAGGTTGGAGGCCATAGCCTGTAGGTTGGAGGCCATTGCTTAGTAGGT